CTGGATGTTTTGGGCGTGGAGTCTATGGAGGGCAGGGTTTGAGAAGGGGAAGGACCTTAGCAGGGTATAATGCTTTAGAGGGTGGACTCAGTGGCACAGGACCTTGCCAAGGCCCCTCCCCTCCCCAAACCCCGCCCTCCTCAGGCTCCACCCCCAGAAGCTCTAGGTATTTCCCAACCCAGAGCTGACAACCCTAGCCCAGAACCCGCTAGTAAGCGGAAGGATCTAGGCCAGTGTTCCCTCTAAGCTGAGTTGGTGTGAGCTAGCTCACAGTTTTTTAGCCTCCGGCTCACACATTTTTGTCTTAGCTCAGGAAAGATGGCTCCAGAGCAAACTAACTTATGCAGGAGCCAAATCGCTCCCTCACAACTTTAATGCCAGCAACTCAGAAAGTAGAACTTTTGCTCACAAGCCGGGCTATTTTTGGGCAGGAACGCACAGGAACGGAGTTCCGGCTGGCTCCCGAGGTGGCCACGCCCAGCAGGAGTTCATTAGCATAACAGGCCACACCCAACAGCAGAAACTCATTGGAATTGGCTACATTAGGGGTGTGTGGCCTAACATGCAAAGGAGTTCCTTCTACAAAAAAAGCTCTGGGTTTTGACAACAAACAAGGTAAACAGAATAAGAAGCAAAAGGTGGGTGTGGCTGGATGACCACACTTCTGGTAACATGGAGGTATGGCCTAATATGCTAATTAGCTGTACTATCAGGGGTGTGGCCTAATATGCTAATGAGTTCCTGCTGTTGGGTGTGGCCTATTATGCTAATGAGTTCCTGCTGGGCTTTTTCTACAAAAAATGCCCTGGTCATAGTACTGTCCATACAGGTGTGGTTTGGGGAGGGGATAGACTTCAATGGGGTATAATGCCATAGAGTTCATCCTCCAAGGCAGCCGTTTTCTCTAGGTGGATTGAGCTCTGTCTCCTAGACATCAATTGTAATCCCAGGGGATCTCCAGCCACCACCTGGAGGCTGGCAACCCAGGCTAGTGAGTCACCCTGTGTCTCTTGACTGAGGGGCAAGGCAGTTCTTACCCACAGAGAGGACACGTGAGGCGACTGTCAATCGCACGGCCCCTCAGGCAGCTGGCACAGAAGTTGTGGTAACAGTCCAGGAGGCAAGGATGTTCATATTGCTCGTGGCATAGAAAACACACCAGCGGGTGGCAGTTAGCGTTGTCCAAGTCACAGAGGTTCTCCAGGGGGGAGAAAATCCCACCAGACATCTGCAGTAAAAGAAGAGAAAAGGTTATTGTTATCGTCTTTTATCTATTTCCCCAGTAAATGGCCAGTTTGGTGTAGTGGTTAAGGGCTCTAATCTGGAGAATCGGGTTTGATTCCCCACTCCTCCACTTGAAGCCAGCTGGGTGACCTTGGGTCAGTCACAGTTCTCTCAGCCCCCCAAAATAAACCTAGCTCCCCAGAAAAAAAAAACTAGAGCTTTAGGCTGCCAGACAATCTTCGGATCTCCTGGCTATACTACACCCACTGCCACATGATAATTAATTCCAGTAAATGGGCTTTTGATTTATGCAGAATAAGAACCTTGCATCCTCTAGCAACCAGAGGGCTGAAAAACTATGACCATGCTCTCCGAATCTGTATATAACAGAGCTATGCGACTTCTTTTTCTTAACTACAATTTGGAGCCACACATACACAAGAAAAGATTTTGTGCAAGTTAGAATTACCTACTTCTATAGTATGTGTTTCTGCGCTCATCATTGATCTGACTGTGCCTCCTGATTTGAAGGTGGGAAAGCCCAGAACAGTGGTTCATGCAGAGATGTAACAGGCAGCCTCCACTGATTGTAGATAATCCTTCAGTTCTCTATACTGGGAGTGGCTGAATGATCTGGTTATACCAGATGCAAGGAGACAGCAGATGTATGGTCTTGTCTGGCAACATAGGATGATAGGAAAGACCAAGCCAGAACAGAGATCATGAAGAGATGCAGCAGGCATTCTATGAAAGTGGATACTTTGCGTTTACAGGGACTTTTAATGCTTTGGTTAATCACAAAGCTTTCCCGATGGCACAGTAGCCGTCCTCTGGCTGTGTAAGTTTTGGGAATGACTGGACTGTTTGCTTTACCTATTGGAATCTCTCATTCCCTGGGGACCAACAGGGCAATGTGTATTTATAGCAAGCTATGCGCACATTTATGCAGAGGGGGAGTGTGTGTGTAAGGCTTGCATTGACTGCTACAGGTGACCTTCCATTATTAGGCTTGCCCTATGAATTGCAGCTGATGAAGATCCAGTCGCTTGATCTGGGAGCAATTTTATAAATATTTCTTCTCTAGGCATCCAAAATGAAAACATGCTGTTTTCCCTATCTCCAAACCTTTCAGTTCCCCCATATCTTAATTGCTGAAAACTACAAAGGTTGGGGAATCAGAAAGCCTCTCCAGTTGTGAAGAAAATATTCAGAAATGATTGCCTTTTCTGCAGGAAAGATGATACATTTTACAAAAATGGGAGCTAATTTCTGAGTGGACATTTCCATTATAGGGTTTTAGGGAATGAATTGTGCAAAGCATAGTTGTATGTCATCTAGCTACGGATATATGCATTTGGGAGACCTGGTTGTGCTGAAAATTCATGTTTAACCATATGACAAACTAGACACATGTGCCATCTTCACAGATTACAGTTTGCATAGGTGTATATATTTCCTCCATCAGAAAACACGTCCTCTATAGACAGCCTCCCCCCCCAGAACAAAACTGGGAAATGAAAGACCTTCCCCCTCCCATAAGGATACTCTTTGTATTTAAGCCTTATAGTCAACGTAGTATAACGAAAGATTTATAGATGATGAAAAGAGAATGTAGAAATTGCAGTTTTCAAGAGCGAATGCAGCCATTTTTCTGAAATTTCACGAGGTGTTCATGGTGTTCTCCCTCCCTTCACATTCAGGATGTCTGCTGTTAACAGATTGAAAAGATACTTTAATGATGATGGCTTGGTTTTATATAAACTGCTTTTTTAAACCAGCTGCCTTCCTATTAGACCAACAGCTCCCAAATTATGATAGAACAAGGGGGGACCCGTGATACTCACGGGGGGGGGCAGTGTCTCTCTTTCCCCGTTCCCTCTCTTCCCCCCAGTCTCTCTCCCCCCCTTCTCTCTCCCCCCCTTCTCTCTCTCCCCCCTTCTCTCTCTCCCAGGGGTCATTTGGGGGGGGACGCGGGGGGACGCCATCCCCCCGGTGAGGTGCGGGAGGGCGGGGCCTGGAGCTCCCTGCTGGTGCCCGCTGGAGGTCGCCGCCGGCTGTGGGGAGGACACACTTCCGGTGATGTCAGGGGGTGTGGCATATGCTAATGAGTCCCCCTAGCTCTTTTTCTACGAAATGACCCCT